GATTGTAGCGGTTCGGACTTTTTGGGTTGAACAGTGCGCTGAGGAGTTAAAATAAATTGTTGGCAAAAAAAAAGACATTTCTGCAATCCACTATGCGGCCGTAGAGTGAAACAGAAACTTGAGCAAAATTGTGGGACCAATTTGCGGTCATTACGCGGCCGCCCAACTATTTCGCGGGCCGCACATCGATCGCAGTTTCAACGTGAAATTTTTTTCAAAGGAAGGTTCTGCGGCGCATTATGCTGCCGCAGAAAAGTCTGCGAGCCGCGCAATGGTCGCAAAGTGGGGCAGACATGCCCAGTTCCGGAGGATCATTTTGCGGCCCATTTCGCGGACCACAGAAGCATTATGCAGTCACATATGCGATCGCAGATCTTGTTCCGGAGCATCTTTTTTGGTAACACGATCCTACTTCATTAAAATAGATGCAAGGGACCATTTTGAGGAAAAAATTGATACTTTTAGAGTGAGAGGTGCCCTAGAGTGAGAGAATGATCTTCAACAAATTATCCTTCAATTCTTGCTCAAATCCTTGAAGATTAACAAGGAAAACTCACTAAGTCTTCATCTTAGAGGTAAGATTCTACACCCTAGCTCTTACTTTTGAAAATTAACTAAAAATAGGTAATTAGTAAGATAATTCTTGGGTGTGAAAGTTGTTTAATTTGCATGCATGTGTTAACAAAGGGTGTAGGAAGTTTGTGAGCTAAAAATGGTAAAGAATGGGTTGTAGGATGATGGAATCCTCCATAAAAGGACCTTGAAACGTTAATGCACAATTAGTGGTTGATAAAATGCTCGAATGAGCTAGAACCATGATCATCTTCCTAATTTTGGTTCAATTTTGTTATATTTCTAAAATAGATTGAAGTTGCTAAGAATTCCGGAACGTTTTAGAGTTTAAGGAAGCTCAGTTGAGGTATGTTGGCTAAACTCCTTTCTTAGAATTGAATTCCACGGTGTTCATGTAAATTATGTAAGACCCGAGTTGATCATTATGAAATTGGCTATTCCGAGTAAACTTGTATTGAAAGATATATGTTCGATATGTATCCCAAATGCTTTTATCATGTTATGTTATCATTTGAAGAATATGCTCAAAGTATGGGCTGTTTGTTATAAATGTTACGACTTCAAGTCAAGTTTGAATAAAGATTATTATGCCAAATTATGTGAAAATTTCTATATGTCTAAGACTCTTAAATGCTCTCACATGTACCTAAAGTCTTGTTGTTGATAATGATGATGATGTGTGAAAGTGAAAAAGGGAGCATGAAATATGAAATTTAGCCAAGTACCAAGAATGATATTGTAATTGTGGCCACTAGTGTCGATGAATTAAAAAGATGTGAAAGAAGTGATGATTGATAGAAAAGGGTAATGTCTCGGGTGAGACGACCTAGCCGGTCGGGCCGTGATCGGACGCCATGTCGCACACATGGTGGTGATTATGCTGGAAAATTGTAATTGAAATGGGATTGTTATTGATGTCTCAAATGAGGCGAACTAGCCGATCGGGCCGTGATCGGACTCCGTGTGAAAGTACGGTGGTATTGTGAATGATGGTATATCGGCACTAGAAATCTCCCAACCTAAAAGCATGGAGATTTACTTGAAAACTTATGTGGTTCTTAACTTGATGTTTTGGTATTGTTTGAGGCTCCTATTGATTTCATGATTGTTCTTCCTTGTATTATTATTCATTCTATTGAGATGGTGTTTAGTTATACATACTAGTACTATTCGATAGTGCTAACGTCCTTTTTGCCGGGGGCACTACATCTTTAATGGATGCAGGTGGTTCCGAAGCAGGTAGTATTGAGCAGTGATAGCAATACACCCTCCTCCCAGCAGACTTGGTGAGCCACACCTCATTCCGGGGTTATATATCTTTTGTTCATTATATTATCACGTTTTGAGGTATAGCCGGAGCCTTGTTGCCGGCACCACTATTGTACTCTTTGTAATTATTAGGGGCTCCGTAGACATAGTGTGAGTTGTATATGGGTGCTGGAAAAGTCAAACGAGTTATGTTGTGTTTGAATTATTTATTCCACTTCTGACTATGAATGTGTGTATTTTGGGACTTTAAAATGAAGTAACTAATGGAAACGATTTGGTATTGTATACATGATCTCCGTATTGCTTAATTAATTTTTTCTCTTTATTCATGAGTGAGTTTGGCTAGAAAGAATCTAATAGGCTCGCTCAGTCGGGTTCATTCGGTTGAGCGCCGATCGCGCTCCCCGAGTTTGGGGCGTGACAATCTTACACTGGAGCAAGTGAAATAATGAAATATTAGTTTAATTCAAGGGAAATGTATCTGCTTCTTGTTTCATGATACTACAGACAGGCAACACTTCTACCTAAAACTTTCTAATAGAGATACAGAAAATTTTGAACATTGAACTTGCAAAGACTAATCTTATTGTGGATCAAATAATTCAGCAAACTATACACAATTAATCCTAGAGGATGTTTCAAGCTGGAAAGTAAAAATCAAGTCAAGATGAAAGGGTTATGAATATGTACCTTATCCTCCAGCCAAAATTGAGAATCTTGAATGTTCTTAAAGTCTTCATAATCGAACATCCCCATGTGAATTGTATCTGAGGCCCCCTATTTTTGATAAATGTCATGATGGCATTTCTCCTCTCACGGGCAATCGATTTATAAATATTAACTTTCAGCCTCTCCTCACTAACTGCTTTGGAGGTTTCTTCATTTCCGGTTTTCTTTCTCTTTTTGTTCCTTTTTTTTTTCTTCAGTGTAAGGATCCTGAATAGCTCGGGGAAGAACCACAGGATTCTGTTTCCGCTTCTCTAGCACTCCCTCCTATACATTCTCGGTTTTCTCTTTATTTTCTTTCTCAATTTCCTCTTCATTTTCGTTCTCTTTTTCTTCTTCTCAAGCATTCCCTCCTTCTACTACCTGAAGATGTTTGACTTCCACTTCAGCCACAATTGATTTTTGTAGCTCATTCTCCTGAGATGTCTTAATTCTTTTGCTAGATCTTTTGGAAGGAGATTTATCTCTTCCTCTTCCACCTGTCTTTGACACACATCCCTTTGCCATTTTATCTGCACAACAAACAAGTAACGACCATCAATAAAATAAATAAATAATTTGTTCCTAACACATAAAAAAATGAAACTATAAATATTTAAGTATTTTTTAGTGAAACATCTCAGTGAGATATTTGAAGCCTCATATAAGATGTTTCAAACATCTCAACAAGATGTTCAACATCTCATTAAGATGTTTGAAACATTTTACTGGAATATTTCAAACATCTCTAAAGGTGCTGCATTGAATGGTCATACAAGATTGAGCTTAAGAGGTAAAATTAATTTTCTGCCATCTACAAATGCTAATCAAGATATAGTAATTTAAGTTTCTAGCTAGTTAGATGGAGTTTGAAAGCAAGCTAGCAATGTTCATATTATAGTTCTCCAAACTTCTTTATCTATACGTCTCTATCAGTGATTTTTTTAATCGGTAAAGTAACCAACCATCTCATTGTGATAATCAGGTATCTTTTGGTGAAACATCTCGTGGATTTTGAGCTGAGTGTTTGAAACATCTCATTAAGATGTTTGAAATATTTGTAAGGATGTTTAACATATCATTAATCAAACCCAAATAAACATTGCAATAATTTCATAACATACAACAACAACAATAACAACACGAATATTTAACAGTATCTTAAGATGTTTCAAACACTCAACTGACATGTTTGAAACATCCAGGCAAAAAAGTATTCCACAAACTCAAAATAGAGCAGTATAGCTGTTTCAATATCACAACAACTAATTTTATGGGTATGTGGAACAACCACATCAACGGCTACAATTACAACAATAACAACAACACAAACAACAACAACGACCCAGTGAAATCCCACTAGTGGGGTTTGGGGAGGGTAGTGTGTACGCATACCTTATCCCTACCCCGAAGGAGTAGAGAGGTTATTTCCGAAAGACCCTCGACTCAAGAAGACTAACGGCTACAATTAAACAACATAAAAATATCAAAATTTCGGTAAAAAATATCAACTACACAATAACTCTAGAATTTAGGCACAAAAACTACATAACAACAAGAAGATACAAAGCACCCCCAGAAAAACAAATTTAGGGTTGAAATAACAAGTTTAGGGTTTATCAATATGATAGAAAAAAGAAGAAAAAAATTACTTTGATGATGGAATCTCGACTTCAAAGCAAATTTGAACGGAATGGAGCCGATTCTTGAAGCCCTATAGTACTCTTGAGTTTGGAGATTGAATTTGAGAGAAAAGTTAGAAAAGTTTGGAGGGAAATCTTGTGTGGTTTTGAAAAGTGAAGAGAGAAAAAAGATGGAAAAGATGGAAAATCGTGTATTAGAAGATGTTTTTTTTTTAAAATTTTTTAGTATTTTAAATTTGATCCCAAAGTTTTTTTTATTTCTAATTTGACCTAGACCATCCCTAATCCTCCTTAATTAGTCAACTTTTTGTTAATAAAAAAGGGTGTCCAAATACTTACACAGCACTTGAAATGTCTTTTTAACACATTTGCCCGGAAAACTAATTCCATTAAGACAAACCAACCAACTAGCTAATAATAAGTTCTAATAATTACTTTCATTCGATATTTGTACCAAATTAAATAATTGAATCTTAATAATGAAAAATTAGAATGAGAACATATAGTGATCACTTCACCATGATTAAGTGATAAATATATGTGTAAAAGATACTTATATATTTATTATTTTGGTGTATACATAGGGTGCGATAAATTTTTATCTATTTATACTATCGTGTTAATACATGTTATTTTCTCTTTCATTCGATTATTTGATCTTCCGCATGACCCAGAAAAGTTAACTATGACTTTTTTCCTCCAAAAGAAAAATTTCACAACTTGATTAGATATTTGAAGGATTGAGAAGACATGTGAGTAATACTAAGTATGGATTGTGTACAAATTACAATGGTACACTACATATGCATATGGGCGAACTAATTCTGTCTCCTCTAATATAATTACATGGTCAATTTGAATGCATGCTTTCCCTCACGGAAAAATGCAAACTCCTGAAGCAAATTCCCTTGCGGTTATAAGCTTATGTTCATCAAGTGAAAAAGGAGAGTTACCCCACTTTCTCTTCCGTGAGCTGTTAGCAGCAAACCAAATAACGCTAATCGCTAAGCCACTAATCATGATCAAGTAACACTAGGTACAAGGAGCAAGGCTATGACTATCCCCTAAGCTAATATAAATACACTAGATTACAGATCAAAAGAATCGGGCTCAATATGCCTTCTGCGGCAATGAGACCGCAACCCAAGTATGGAACGTACTGTACATTGACAGAAATCAGTCCTAACTCCTAAACTAGCGTATTCTTTCATTTCTCCAAATAAGTAGGGAATTCAACTCAAGCGTGGTAACTTGTTAGAAACGCCTTCTGGTTATTCCAGCTTCAGTAGCAGAATGTGTTAGCCGACTATAAGAAAATCTCAATCTTTATCAGGTTCACTCATCATCCGCAATGAAGTTCGGAAGTTCACCCTGGCATAAATACTCATCACAAAGTGATGCTGATCCCCAATCCTTCCGAAGCCGCAAAATATCCTCTGTGAAAGTAGAGCCCATTGATCCAATAAACACGTCAGACAAAGCACAAATGGTCTTGTCCAGCATAGCTTCCACCTTCATGAAGGTAAAAACAGACTTGTGAATTAGGATAAATGCCAAAAAGCCAAAAGAGAATGTCAAATAGCTTATCACCCTATGTCAAAATTTATAACAAGAGTTGCAGAAGAATGTTCTATGAACAAAGCTAAATGGCCCTGGTTCTTATACATTTGTATTAACATCGCTTCATACAATTTTATGGAGAAAGTTATAACAATATGCAATATTGAGGAAACATGAGTCATCTTGGATTGATGCCTTTTAATGTCATTTAATAGGTGGTAGGATCCAAGGATTTTAGTTGAATGAATCGTCTTCATTTAATCCAGATTGTAAGGTCAGTCAAGTAAAATTTTATTTTAAACGCATAACAACCTAGTTAAAACAACTTGCCTGTTTATACGATCCTTCTCATGTCCCAATTCAAATGTCCTAGCGTCCTTTGTTGTCCATCCCTCTATCGTTTTTAAAAAATGAAGCTCTTTTCTTTTAGCAGTGCACAAAACAATTTCAATTACATAGAGCAGGGAAGAAGGGAGTTAAGGAACCTTGAATGGATAGTGAACTACAGAAGCAACAATTATAATGAAGAGGTTAGGATGGCTAGCAAATCAAGGGAACAGATTGGGTCTACTTTCATTAGTGGATTGATTACAGTATGGTTTACTTTTACCATATTTTCACCTGCTTCTTGTTAGCTAAGAGTAAATCAATAATGAATTAACTTGATCTGTCTAAAATTGATTTAGATGCAAGTACAATGAGGAGATGAGCAATCTTCTTCCAGTTTTAGGCTGAAGCAGACCAATAAATTTAGATCAGACACACTGTATCCTTCCCTAGGTTTAATAGGATGTCTATTTAACTTCAATCAAGACCAAGGGTTGACCGGGTAACTCAATTATCTATTTGATAAGCTAAGATTAAGAGAAAAGGCTGGGTCCAGATTAATAGTGCAAAGAAGATCCAGTAACAAAGTGACCCACTGGTTTTCTCAGAACATAAACTACTACCAGTAATTCTGCATGAATATCAACCAAGTGCATTTCCAAGGTTTGGATTCTAACTCACCTGACGATCTCCTTCAAGGCCATGTCTGTACAATAAAGCATCCCATTTCTCAGCTGAATTTCGAGCAGGCCTTCCAACAAGTGGCACAGTTTTTCCATTGACAACAACAAGTGACTGAAGTAGACCAGTTTCACTTTCTGCAGCATCTGTGGAGAGATAAATTACTGCTGAATTGGCCCTCTCAACCACACGGTTGATACAATCCGCAGCTTGAGGAACAGGATAGAAGCAACTTGGTTTTTTGGCATTGCTATCAAATAGACAAATAAAAGTGAAGGCAAGGAACTATGTCATGATAAAATTACTAAGCTTAGAAGCTTTGGTAACTGTAGCAGTAATATGAATTTGTAAAGTGTTATGGTACTAAGGCATTTTGGTAATAAGATTATTAGAAATGCCAAAAATATGCTGTCTTTGATTCCCACTACTAGAGCATATGTTAAAGGGCAACCAATTGAACAGAAAATACAGCTAGGAAAAGCAAATATACCAGAACTTCAAGAAACCGTGTCTGCGGAAATGAAGAGCGATAAAGTACTCTCCCAAGAATGTTTGGATGAAACGCTGGGCAGTGAGCAAAATAAGACGAGTTGGCTCAACAAGTGTCTTGCATTTGTGTGAAATGGGGCCACCAGGTTGCATTACCCATTCTTTTTCCACATCGGCAAAAAATACATCACCAATTGCAATAACATCATCATCCGAAGAAAATTTTGTCATAATGTCTTGGATAGTCCTTGGCTTCGGATTCTTAACATCCTCGTTCCAAGCAGCTTCGAGCTTATTCATAGAAACCCCTAATGATTTCAACTTCTTAACACACTCTTCATCCATAAAACAAGGCTGTGGCTGAGAGAAATAGCAAATGAATTTATCTATGTGCATATGACCCTTTCGTCCTTTTGCGAATTCCTCAAACGTTACAACCACTTTTCTACCCAAGCATTTATCGATATGATCAATATCTAACACTCTATGAAATTCATAGTCTACTTTAGAGCTAGGAATGATCAAAATGCGGTTAAGCAGAGCTGCAAAAAACATATGCTTTTCCAAACAAATTAGATGATTTGACATCTGCCCCGACACACAAATTGCAAACAAATACTTATCAGGCATTGGCTTCCACTCAATAGTTCTCCTATCAGACAATCTATAATCCACCTTCCTACACCTATGTAAATCACCATAACCCTGGAGATTAGGATCTGTAGCATTATCCGATGCACTTAACGAGTTCCCTAATTGATGAGACGACAAAAGAGCTTGTTGAATTTGGTTATTTAATGAAATCTGACTGAGCAAATCCGATTTCAGTTTCTCTAAATTACTATTATTGGCAATAGGCTTATTAGAAATAGCATTCAAAGAATTATCAAGCAATGTGTGGTTCCATATCTTGAAGAGCCCTAATTGTTGCTGTCTAAGCAGATACAGAGCCCGCAGTTCGGACTCGCGCATGCGATTGATGGAGGCATCGTAATTAACGTTTGTAACGCTGGTTTTGAAGAGGTTTTTAATGTCTGTGGTGAAGTAAAGGATGAGGATAAGCACTGGGAGAATAATCGCTAGGAAATACCTCTTTTTGAAGCTGAAATTGAAGCGGCGAGTGTTAGCAGTTTCGTCAATTTGGAATGTGGTGCGCTGCGGAGATTCCGAATGGCGGTTTCGGCGTTCGCTTTGCGCGATCAGATTCTCGTGATCCTCTTCTTCATCAGAGGATTCTCTCTCAATCATCATAATATTTTCACGGAAATCAAACGTGCATTGCCAATTTTTGGAATTTTCCTTGTCTCTTCTCTGTCATATGGAAACAGCGTCTGCTTTACGAAGGAACTGAGTAGAAAACTGCATAAATGTGAGCGGAGAAGAAGAAGAAGAAGAAGACCGAGTTGGAGCAGTGTGTGTATGGTTAGGGGTCCAAGTGTAAAGTGAAAAGCAGGCATCTTCGTGATTCGTGAAGCTAGGAGGTGTTTGGTTTCCAGTCGTTTTTATAGAGTTTAATATTAAAAATCAAATTTCAGAACCAAAGTAGTATTATGCTATTATACTTTTCATTATGCTATATTTTGATGCTAAAGATTACATTTGCAGTTTTCTACATTGGAAAGGGAAAATCATTAATTGTACGGATTTTTTGCCTAATTAACTTGGGCCGCCAAGAAGACTGGCATTGTGATCGTGGTACTTGGATAGCCTTATGTTAAAGAGTTTGGCCCAGATGTAATTTAGAAGTCTATGTCAAAAGGGTGATTGACAGGAATGACCCTATAAGGATTGGTCCGTAAAAAACTAAATATTATCCCCGTCTTTTAATATATTTAAAAAATGATCCCGACACTTATAACTTGTCAAATATTTTACTACTGGATTGGTAGATTTTATGATTTATATTACTCTATTTATATTATTAATTGTTCATAAACTCTATCGGATTGGCATGATTTTGTGTTATTCACAATCAATTTGTTAGATTGTTCACAAACTCTACCCAGCTGATATGATTTTATACTTGTTTGATGGTTCACCAAAATCTACAAGATTGGCATGAATTGTGTTGTCTACAATTGATATATATGTTGAATTACTAGTCTTATAATACGCGTGTTGTGCGTGTACACTATCTCAATGGGTAAAAAAAAATCATAAATATCGATAAAAAGATGCTTGGTGGCGAACTTTGACGCTCAGATTATTAACCTTTCTTTATTATACCAGAGAGTACTTTTTACTTTTTTCATCCAAATTTGGTTCTTGTTATGATAAAAGCAATTTAGTAAATAATAAATAGAGATAGAAAGAAGGAGGAATTTTTCCTCTTCAATTGTGTGCATTTACCCTTCTATTACAAAACCTTTATATAGACATGAAAAGTGAAAAATCACTATTATAAAATAGTGGGAGGAATGACCACTAAAATAATGGGGGAATAATCGCTACACATTAAATGATGGGGCTCAATATTGACATCCATAACTATTATTTTCAACAGTTCTTTAATTTTATTTTTTTGATTATGAGAAAATAAAAGAATACGGATTATTTATATTCCTCTATCAAATAATCCTTTTTTATGAAAGCAAGGACTTCTAAATAAGTCATGAACGCCCAGTATGTTATGAATCCTTCTGTAGTTTGTTAAGAATATTGTAGTTATGGAAAGATTTAAATCCCTAAATATTAGTAATTCTTACCTAAACCAAATAAGGAAAATTTTAATAAATAAAATTTAATTAATTTAAAAGTCTTAAATGTTAGAATAATAAGATAATACGTAATGACTATTTTGTCAAGCGTGAGCTCTATTTTAAAGGGGTAAAAATAACTAGCGATATTTCGCTAAGTGGCTTCGTGCTTTTAATATAGTATTGATTATCAAAGTCTATCCAATCGATATAATTTTTCTGTGTTGTTCAACAAAATATTCTTCGAAATTGCAATTCAACGTCGATTAAACCACCTCAAATCTGCTCCAAATAATCTCAAATTTGAAACAAAAATTTCCAAATACCAACAGAAACAAAATCAAAGAAGACCCACTTTGTCTTCTTCACACTTTCTTAGGATCAACAATGGAGTTTTTAAATCTTTCAAGTAAATTACTAAATTAGTATTTAAGCTAAAAATATAAGCACAAATTATCAATATTCAAACAATTTTAAAAAAGGAAATGACTCTCTATGTCCCTCCAAAATTTTTATTAGCCCATGTTTTTTCCCATTGACCCGAGATAGCCTTTAGGCTCAATTTATTGATAAGTTGTAGCCATTTTTCCCAACACATAGCTTTAGATTTTCCTCCTCTATAGTTCCCTTCACAATGTAACTATTTTCCCTTCATTTATTTTTTGTTACTTTTATAAAGACACTTCTGGACATGTATTTTTCCACTAGCACAATTCATTTAACATCCTCCCCTTTCTTTATATCCATTTTTTTTCTTATTGATTCATTTTGTAATTTTGAGTTGTTACTTAAAAAAATGGAGAAACGCATTCTTCATCTTACTCTGTACAAATGTTCTTATTATTTTTGTCTATGTGATTGCTTCTTCTTCATCATCTTCATTTCTGGTCTTAATGATACTTTATAAGTACAGATCTTTTGAAGTGAATACTGGTGGTGAGTTAAAATTTTAATGGTGTTTGAAAAATACAATGTAATTTCATATAAAAGTTTTATATACACAGTGTATAAAAATTGTTTACGCACCGTTATATGTATATAATTGCATTCTGTATAATAATGTTATTATAAAAATTGTATATAGACTTTTGTACAATGTATAAAAATTATATATACACTATAACATTGTATAAATTTTGTATATAAAGTGTATACTGTATTTTTCAGTGTATATTATAAAAATTATATATAAACTATTATAAAATGCATAAAAATTGTATATATACTATTACATTGTATAAAATTAGTATATAAAGTGTATCCCTAATAAATCGTTAGTGTATATTCATGGCTCCGACTTCTTTGCAGCAACCTCACAAATGTATGTATAATGTATATATGTTATATAATAGGTGTATATGTACGATTGTACAATTTCTATACATTATTATACAATGTAAATGTTGTTGGTTGTTTAATGGTGTTTTGCTGGCCATTTTGGAGGTTGAAACTTCATGATTCTTTTGGGATGAGCTCTTGTGCATTTGCTGTGAAGAAGTGAAGGGTGAAGTGTATTTACTAGTGGGATTTCTACACTAGCTAGCTATTATAATTAGCTTTTGGTTTCAAATTGAATAAATTTGTGGACTAGAAATTGTCAAAAGTTTCAGCCGAGCGGCTAAAAGTGAAATTGCCTCTTTTAATAATAATAATAATAATCAATTATTAACTTTCAGTTTTCTACCCATGAAACTATAATTTTAAGCTTCTAATATTAAAGAACTTGGTCTTGACGAGAAAGAAGTCTATTTTTTGCAATAAAGTCAATAATATGACAATATTTAAATATCGGCCCCTTCGAGGGGTAGTGCAAATTTTTGCTGTAAAAGCTTATAAACAGAAGGGGATGTCCATATCACCCCAAGTAGGGAGAAGTTCAAAAATAGCCAGATTTACAAGTGGTCATTCAAAAATAACCATAGTTTCAAAAGTAATCGAAATTTAACCACTTTTTATGTAAAGATAAATATGAACGAAAACACTGTTCGAATTCCGGAAAATACTCCAGCATAATATACTGGAATTCCAGTATAATATACTGGAGTTCCATCATAAGTATACTGGACTTCCAGTATAATTTACTGGAGTTCCAATATAATATATCGGTTCAGCATAATATGATGGAAGTTCATACACAGGTGCTCCAGTATATTTATATTATGCTGGAACTTTCTGCGTTTTGGAGTTCCAGCATAATATGCTGGAAGTTCATACACAGGTGCACCGATCTCCAGTATATTATGCTGGAACTTTCCGTGTTGCAGCAAAATAGTGGCTATTTTTCAATGACTTTGCAAACACTGGCTATTTTGAATGATTAGTCCGAAGGCTAGCACGTGCTAATTTTACTCCCAAGTAAATAATAATGTTTGCTAATTTACAATTGTAAAATTTTTATATGGCGCCCAGTTTTGTGCTATCTACTTAAAAAAAATTAACTGATACCCAATTTTTTGGTAATTTCAGATACATATATTTTTCTTCTTCTTCTTCGCTGCTTCTTCTTCTTTGTGCTCAGGGTTTCCTTTTTTTTTTTTAGTTGCAAAATAGGTTTGTTAAACTTGTTGTTGTTTTGACAATTTAATGATATGGTTTGTTCTTTATGATATTTTAAAGTTATATTTTAAATTTGAGCTCATTTGAAATATACTTGGTGTTGAATCGTGCGTATGAATAATTGAAATTCGAACAATACGTTTATGTTTCAGAACTTAAGATTTGAAATCTGAAGTTGCGTTGAAGAGATGAACTGCTTAACATTCGAATTTCTAAAGTTGTATTTGAAAGATAAAATTCAGATTTGATTTCTGAACTAGCATTGAAGAGATTGAACTACTTAGATTCCAATTTATGAAGTTACATGTGAAAGATAAAAAAATTTCAGATTTGATTTCTGGAGTTGCATCGAAGAGATTGAACTACTTCAGATTTGAGCAGATACACATTGACATTTTTTGTGCAATGTAAGTATAACTTCAATAGTGATCCCAAAAGTAGGTATATATGAAAATGCCCGTCACAAATCCACTTGCATAAAAAAGTTAAAGTTGTGTAGAAGGTTAGATTTGTGGTTGTACCCTCTCACAAGCTTCCTGGTCGATTAATTAACTTAAATATTATTGAGAAACTAGACTAAGCCCACATCCGAACAATCAAGAAAGCTTGGTTAGAAGAACGAGAGTTGTTGAGGAACAGTAACAGCCAAGAATAATTATCACAAATATCTATTGGGCCTATTCCATGGTCAATAACACTGGTCATTTTTGTTTCAGTCTCCATCACTAACAGTTGTTATCAAGCACACATGACCAGGGTGTATTTAAGTCTCTGGATATGAGTTCACGTGAACTCAGGTATAACAATATTATATTTCTTCAAAATTACTTAAATATATGCACGTACATTCATGCTCAAAGACTCTTATGGTGCAATTATTATTGGATGTACTCCGACAAGTGAAATTAGCGGTTCAAAACTCACTCCGGATGATCTTGTTTTCGACGTAGAGTATAGATATATATGTTAAAACCAGTAAAAAATTTAAAAAAATATAATTTTGAACCTATAATTTCAAAAGTGTAGGGGGTTCAGGGTAAGAGACTAAAGTTAAACCCGTCAAGTGTGAATTCTAGATCCACTTCTTTACAACAGTACACTCATCCTCTTGAAATCTTGAGTCCACTTCTGCTCTTGAGAGTAAACAACAAAATCACTTTCATGCATATGCCGGAAATGATCCTTTTTAAAGAAAAGAAAAGAAAAGAAAAGAGTAAGAAGCCTAGCATAGGAATAGGAGCAGGCCTTTAGGGGAG